TAATAATAATAGTAGTAATAATAATAGTAGTAATAATAATAGTAGTAATAATAATAGTAGTAATAACAATAGTAGTAATAATAATAGTAGTAATAATAATAGTTGTAATAATAATAGTTGTAATAATAATAGTAGTAGTAATAATAGTAGTAGTGATAATAATAATAGTAGTAACAATAATAATGCTAATAATAATAATAGTAATAACAATCATGAAGATAGTGAAAATAATATCATTAAAAATACTAGTGACAATAAAATAAGCTTAAATCAAATTCAGGCGTATAATATTAAATTTTTTCACACCTTTAATATATTGTGTGGAAGCTTTATCATTATTATCATTAATATTGCATTTATTAACTTTCCAAGTGCTACATTTTTAATGACAGTTCACATTATTGCTGGGTACTGTCAGCACTGTTTTTAACAATATATTATTAGGTGTTACTTTATTAAAGTTAAATTTATAAAGAATTATTTTCAGTTCATTGAACGAGAGTTTTTTTTAAAGGGAAGCAATTCTTAAAAATGGCGGAATGTAATCGTCAAATTCTTTTCTCAAGAATTTTTTCGGAAATTTGTGCATGCTACTTCATCAGGCTAACATTTTGCAAGTTGCTGTTGTCTTTTCCTACTATGCTTGTCAAACAATCATGATTCTTCGCGCAAAGACGCGTTTTTCATTGCCTTTTTTTCTCTTTTTGCAGCACTGATTTCTTTTTAGGATGGAGCACCGAAATCTTGTGTCTCGGGGATATCGGAAACCCGGGAGCATCCGGCTTCGTTATCTGGTGCAACGCATCTTAGGGCAAGGGCCATGAGCTCGTCGGTAATCTTTTTTTTTTTTTTTAAAGCTGTAATAGATATAATAAGTATGGACATCTTCAAGGAGAGATGAGGAAATTGTTCAAAGGCAATTTGTTTTCATTATTTGTTCGATGAGTCAAATCTCGCTCCATTTCTTACTCCCTGTCAATGGTAGAGGCACGCGAGGAGTAGCAGAAGCGGTAGCACTTGCTGAAAGTGACCAGCCACTGGCAACGAATTTGAAATCCAGTAAAATCCGGTCATTTTTTTTGTGTGGATTTATCTATGAATGGAAAAATAGGATTGTCCACCCAGTGTAAAGTCATGTTCTGTCTTAAAATCCACTTGAAATACCTAGTGAAATGTTCTCGGGCAATCCTCGACAAGGTCGCTCCCTTATATCAGGCAGGCTGTGGTTACTAACTGGAGGTATGCAGTACAGACTTGAAGAACTTGACGTAACTACGCCTGGTTTGTGAGGACGTAAAATTCCTATATAGATCATTCGGAAGATCTTAGTTAACGTAATAAAACTATTTTTATATGTAAAACAAGGATTGCAGTCTCTACTGCGAAACATATGGGTGGAGCAGACGTTCAAAAAGCGAGAATGCGTCAGGTTTGTGCCGCACAGCAGATATCGCAACAAGTAAGCATTGCTATTACTGTTTTTCTTAACAAGAGGGAATTGAAAATTATAAGTTGCAGTTGCATTAAGCCTGCTAATATTCCTTCATTGCCGGCTGTTTCCAAAAAATAGGTAAAGATTGTGGAACTGTCTTTCTCTCTTTCTTCCTCGGCGGAGCCCTACAGTTGCTGAAAAAGGAAATTTTTTTGTGAAATTTTGTGAGACACAAATTTCACTAAAGAAGCTTAAAAACAGTACGGTCTTCCTTCATTAGACGGGGCGAGAAGAGAGAAATTTAAAATTCTATCAAATACCCCATACTTCAGCTTTTAGCCAATACATACCTTACAGATGCCTTTTGTTTAGTTAAAAAAAGAAAAAAGATTGAAATAGGAATACTGCGCTAATTTATCACCAAGGAATTGCTGAATTTTGTTTAAAAAATAGGTAGAGATCCAAAAATGCGTAGCGCTGAATCGATGAACAGTTGTCTTGTTCAGCCAAACAAGACTTTTTTTACGAATAACTGAGATTTAGAAATAATAACTAGTACTTTTTCACAGTTTCATTTTGGCTCTCTCCAATCAGTTAACTTCGAATAGCAGGTGTGGATGTGGGAGGCTGAAACGGTACCACATAGCAATTGATGGGGCATCGGAGGAACAGTGCAGGAGATCATCGAACACGCCGTCACCGGAAATAAATGACCGAATAGCGCGAAGCGACGATGAAGTTGAGCAGGATATGACCGGTGGCGAAAGTGAAGCTGGCCTGCCACCGGTGAGTAAAAAAGCTTTTAATTGAAAAATGCAAGATCATCTTATTATTTAGGGCTTATTCAGTTCCACAGGTATTCCACAGGTTAATCGTGATATTACTTATTGATTCTTGATTCAGTACTTGCCTTATCACGGTCGTTTTTTGAGGGGAATATTCCTTCAGAAAATTATTTTTAGCTATTAGTTTTGCCGTATTTCTTTATCGTATTGTCAAAAAAATCAAAATTCCCTTCGCATTTCACTTTTTACGAGAGGCGAAAGCACACAGAGATAGCTGAAGCAA